TGTATATTGATTTAGGAAATACAATGATTAAGGCATTTTGACTACTCTAGAAAACATTTATATGCAGGAATATAATTTTTATTCGATGCAAGGGCAAATAATCTGTACTTTTTAAGGCATAAGAGTCAATAAACCTCTTTTTTAGAACAACTGAAGAACACTTTTAATAATTAATGAATAATGTAGTATGTTACATTACTTATTACTTCTAATTGCCTTCATGAAAAACATGACCTGTATTAAATTGAAATAAGTGGACGATGGAAAAATCAATAAATTTAAAAACAATCATAATTATAATATTTTTAAAGAATAATATACGGTCTCAGAATTGTGTACGTCTTAAGTAACGTAAGTATTATCTAATAAGCTAATTTGGTAACTATCAACCGTAAATAGATTACACTGTTTGAATACTTCATATGGATCAGTTTACATACCATTTTGAAAATCCAGACTATAACTGAATCAGAATATGAAAACAAATGATAAAATATTACGTTATTGTCGTAACGTAAAATCGTTACTTACGTTACTAGCTATGACAAAAGATTTAATATGATTTGTTGGGTTAAAGTTTAAAATCTTGCAATTTTTGTGTTTATTTCTTAAGGTATAGAACTATCAAATTGTGTTTGCACCATTATCAACAAATTTGGTCATCTATTGAAATAAACTAGGGGAAATTTATAAACAAAGAAGTACTGAATAGATCAAAGATTTTGTAGTGATTAAAAAGAGTATTAGGTATATAGATAATAAAGTTTACGAGATTAACTATAATTTAAAATGGTAGACTTACTGTCAACATAACTCCTGCTATTATAAAAACCTTAATTTTTTTAGTTAAAAAAAAAGATATGAAAAATTAAGGCTCAGTTAATACCAACGTTACCGAATGTTATGTAGGTATCCGAAAATTTCGAAGCTCTTTAAGATTTACTGATATGCATGTACTACATTGATATTTATTGCATATCTGTATTTACAACCATGATTTTCTTACTTTAAACATCAAGTAATGAGGTACATCATGTGGAAAACACGTGATACAAGAATATGCGTAATATTCTTTCAGTAACGTAAGTATTGGTAACGTATGTAAATTCCGGTAAGTTAATACACTGTACATTTTTCAAATGTTGAGAATGATTTAAAAATGTGTATGCAATAAAAAATATGAACCATTTCCTAATCATATAAGCACCATTAATAGGGCCTAACACATTTATATACTTTTAGAAAGATGTATAACGTATGTATTTGCGAAAATACAACCGACGAAGTTTTATAATGCATATAAGTCGTTTGAAAATATTTCAAGGAAAGTAAATATCAGATAAATTTTACAAGATAGTACAAGGTGTCTACTGTTTGATTTTCTTAAAAATGAAAATATATTTGCATAAACATAATTTACAAGCTCAGCTATATGATGGCGTTACGTAGGTATCAAACAACTGGGCGACAACGACATGCTGCAAAAAAATTGCCGTTTACATGTGATTTCTGTTTTACTTTTATAATTTTTTTTTACTCTCATATGGTGTGCAGTAAATTTCTGTGCATAAAAATACACGTTTATTAGATTTGAGTTTTTCAATTATGTTTTATTTTTGAAATACGGATTTGGCGACAGTAACGTATGTATTGTTTTCATAAATTCAGAGACGTATTTATCTCGGAAGACTTTTCCCGATTTTGCTCATTTTTGTGGATGTTTACGGACCATAACCTATGTTTACTTGCTCGTGCTGAAAAACATTCTTATATTATTAAATATCGAGTAACAAGGAAACGACATTAATTGCACCTTATTGCTGAGAATGGGCGGTAAAAGAAGTGAGAAGAATACCGTTATCGATAATTCGGTCTTTACTTACAGATAAGTGGAAAGGAATTTCTAGATTGGGCGGGAGGAGCATAATAATATATAATAAATGATATAATTAATGAGATGAAATTAATAAAAAAATTAAAAGAAAAGGTTGATATCATATTTTAGCTTAATTTATTTTTAGTGAAGTTATATTTACTTGGTTTTCTTTTTAAATAATTTATGAGGGAGGTCCAACTCTTACTGCAACAAATTATAGCTTTGTTGTAAAGCACAACGATGACGAGCAACATTACCCTCCCCCTTTTTTTAACCCTCCGTTTCAGGGAGATCTCGATCTTAACAATGTTTTATGTGTTGACAGGTACAAATGTAAGACTAACTGACTTCAAATAAAATTATAAATAAGCTTCCAAAAAAATTCCAAGACCGAATCCGAAAAAACGGAATAGAATTTTTTTTAAGTAGGCAAGGTTAAAGCATTTATTTAGTGTTTCAAAAATTTACACAAAGCTAATTAAAAGACATATTTTTGTACACAAAATAAACGGGTCCCGAAATTATATATTAGCCACGAAACCTCAGTTGATTTTTGTTTTAAAGATTGCATGCTCATATAATATTTAAATAAAAACATGATGAAATTTTGAGAATTGGGAATTATTTCCTTTGGCATTTTCTTTAAATTTTTATTCTCACTTTATGGTCATGACTGAGACCAGAAATGGTACGAGTACGTGTGTCTTTAATTTTCAAGTACACTGGTTTGTTTATCAAAATAAATTATTTCATCCTTAATTTTATCTAAATCAGTGATCAATAAGATCCTGGGTTACATCGCTCACCTGCAGTACTGAAAAGTTAAAATGCATAAGTGGTCCAACCTACCATTAAAGTCATAGATATGGCGTATTTTTGATAAGCTCAGATTAACTAAAATCAAATAGATCTTTCTATTTGTTCTGTTTCTTTATATATAAAGATAGGATTTTCCTATCAATTACACAATTTAAATCAATCACGTTTCATAGATATCCAAGATTTAAAACAAATTGAAATACTGATTTATTTCCAACTCGGAATTAAATATCAGACACTGTTTTAAGTCAATTTAACTATAGAAACATGGGGATATTTAAGTTCAAAATCGGTGAAAATTTGAATTTGAATGTAAATAACAAATATCATGTAAATCTACACTTAATCTCGTATTTTTATTTTTTTTTTAGCTCAGATACGCCACATTTAGCTCTAAAGGGTATGTTTTATTACGGTGTAAAATACGACATTTTCGAACTTATTATAAAATACTTTGTAAACTAACTTTTTGGACTTTGTGTAAATTGTTATGAAAGCTTTTCGTATATTTCGACAAATGTGATAAATTACAGCAGTATATAAATTCCGTAAAGCCTTAATCATTCGCTCAATAATTGATTTTACTTGATTTCCATATACTTTTTTTAATCACATTTGCCGAAATATAAGAAAAGTTTTGACAACAATTTACATAAAGTCCGAAAAGTTAATTTACATACTAATTTATATAAGTCCGAAAATGTTGTATTTTACAGTTTACACCGTAACAGTTTGAGTAAACTTGAATCTACACAAACTTATAATATGATGATTGTATACTAGTATTAGTATTTGATTAATTGTGGCTTCCCACCCCCCACCCCCCCCATTAAAATTTGAACTAACATTGTGGTCCAACCCTACCCCCCAGGGTCATGATTTTCAGGAGCATATCTGAATCTGCACTACCTGAGGATGCTTCCCTACATGTAAATATGACATCGTGGCTTTGCTGTTGATGAGAAAAAGATTTTTTTTAAAAAGATTTTTCCCTATATATTCCTATTTTTAAAGATTTTTTCCTATTCCAATGTAAAATTTTGATCGTCCATACATTTAGCTGCAGATTTGTAGCGTTATGGTTTTATGTATTTGTCTTCGACCATAAGCCTACAGATCGATACCGTTATGTAAAAAAGGTGCAATTTACGACGCAATATTAATTTTTGCGCACTTTGGGGGAGAAATCTCCACTTTCTAGCATTGGTTAATCAACTACCTTTCACTCGATCCCTAATTCTAGACACATTCTGTAGCTAATATGTATATTTTATCCACCTCCCAACCATTTATAATTGTCTCTACAGGCAATAAACTCGCTTAAAGTGAATTTTTAGCAATCTAACAAATAATTTTATTCAAGCGAGTTTATCACTTGTAGTGATGATTATAAAGGGTTAGAAGTTGGATAAAATATACAGATTAGTTAAATAATGTGCCTAGAATTAGGGAGTGAAAGGTAGTTAATTGATCGATGCTGGAAAGTGGAGAAATTCTCCAAAAAAATTTTCTCTGGCGGCCCCCCCCCCCCCCACTTTCAAGAACGATGCTACGTGGCTGAGAAAAGCTCACTTGAGATTTCAGCTCAGGTGAGCTAAATAAGGATGTACAAGTGTGTACAATTAAAATTCGTTGCAATTTTCATTTTTCGTTAAATGTCAACGTCCAGAATTTCTCTCCTGTGTCAAACAGGATCCAAAATTTATTTTAACCCTATACAGGCGACACATGAGTTCGAACTGTAAGGGATCACTTTAGTCTGTCGTCTAATGCTTATTTCGGCAAGGTGTGGGGGTCCTTTCACATTACAATCTATCATTGAAATGTTTAAAAATCAGATTTTGTACTCTATGAAAATTTTCTCTTGTTATCTCAATTAATCTTATTTTAAATTATGACAAAACATAATTTATTATTTCTGGTGATGTTAAATATTATTATTTTTACAAATTATTTAAAATTTCTTTGAAAAAAATCATAAATTGAAAGAAAGAAAGGGAAGTCATTTAAGGAAAATTCTTCCGGATGTGACATCACAGGAGGAACTCAAGTTCGAAGAATATGAGGGAATAGGTGAAACGTAACTTACGATCTGAGGAGAAAATGCGTCATTCATATTTGCTCATTCTTATCTTATTTTTCATAATTTCATTCACGTGTTCGAGGACCTTAAAATTAAGAGCATGCGTGTGTTCCGACTCCAGCCTTTGCTATAATAAGATCAGGAACTTTACCAGAGAGGTAGATGTTATGTTATTTTGTTGTTTTCTTTCGCGGCTTTGTAAATCTTTAGCCAACCTTTAAGAGATCTTTTAGGGATATAAGTATTTGGGTGATCAAAATTCTTGAAGACGAATATATTGTGTATGAATTGATTCATTTCGGTCTTTCCGGAAGTATGACTAAATGTCCCCTAGCTGCTTGATTTGTGTACACTCAACACACTGAACTATTTATAAATCTCTTGTACTTCTCATGATATCATTACTTAAACAATGAAAGTTTTGTGGATAGAGTTGACATTCTGTGTACAATTTTTATTGTTCATTTCCGGGGTTTCACCTGATAATGCTGTGAAGTACAATATCCATCATGATTGTCCTTGTGACCCTATTTATTGCCGAGTACATAAATTTGAGTACAATGATGAGGTTTGTCTTGTTTTAAATTTTTGTTTGACTTCAGAAAAAAAATGATACATGTAATACATGTCAATTTACATGCAAATATGATCTAGTTTGTATAAAAAAATGTAAGCCCTGTGATTTAAACAAGTATCAATTAATGACCAGCACATTGCCAAGATCTCATGAATTAGCTATATAGCTTCATCAGTGTTTCAAATAAGCTTGACAAAAGTATTCTGATACAGTTTTTCCATAATATTTTTTAATAAATGGGGAAAAAGTTGAAGGTATAATACAACTCATAAATTAATTCGAGATTCATCTGACCAGCTGACTCTCAGGAATCTTGGATTACTCAAAAGATTATGTATGTGCTATGGATCAACATTTCAAACAGCAGTCTGTATAAGTCATTGTTACAGTTTAACAATGCTGTTTTTTACAGGTTTAAGCAAAGGATATATTCCCATTGAAATGATAATTCAGTTGTGAATTTTTTTTTTTCAACTGCATGCAATTAATGTTTTTTTTTTATTTTGTTCAATATGTATGAAGTTTGTGGTCAGAAATCAGTTACAAAATATAGGTAACTTTTTATGTTTTGAGTACAACATCTCTCAACAGGTAGGAACTCTAGTTCTTTAAATAAAGATTAACATTTTTCACATGTCAGTAGTCCTTTTAAACAATACTTTAGCTTCAATCCCATTACTCAATTTGTGATGTTAAATTGTAGGACATTAATCATATTACAAATGGTTTTCTTGAAATATGTCATTTTTTTCCATTGCAGAAAGTAGTTGTTGCAGAAGGCGAAGCAGACCACTCAAAATGGCCTTGGTCTGAAATTACCACAGTCATTGCTACAAGTGAAGTCCCAAATAAAAAAGCTCAACAGCTTATGTGTACTGCTCACAAATATAAAGCCAACTTTGCATTTATTGGTAATTTCATATGGAATGTGAAGTTAAACTAAATTTTCTTAATTGTAAATTGTTAGAGCATTGATTAAATGTATAACATTAGCTGCAATAACGTAGACCTCTCGTATTTTTTAAATCTGATGTTTCCTCTACCCCCCCCCCCCCAAAAAAAAGGGGGGGGGGGGGGAGAGGGCTACATTATTGCAGCTAGTATTACATTTAATAAAAAACATTGTAGTGGAACAAAAAAAGTTTGAAAATTGTTTATCATGTTTATTATTTTGTAAGTGAAATTTTTTTAAATTTTAATTTCAGAGAAAGTGCCAGTAATTACAAATACCTCAGATCCTGAGCTACAGAACTGGCTGAATAAGGTGGCAGCTAAGAAGGACCTGTTATATGTAGATTACATAGCTCTAGATTTGCTGGATCTGCTGGGACAATGTACTGCTGATAGCAGTCATATTCAGGAAGTGCTGGAATTGTTGAAGTACATGGTTAAAAATTATTTTCTTCCTCACAGTGCAGAGGTAAGATTGACTGATTTTCTCATTAAGGCTGTGATCATTTTAGATTATTGCAATAGACAAGGAGCATATAATTCAGTACTTTTAATGTTTCAATTTTTAATACAATATATTATGATCTTTGAAAAGTTCATTTTCCTTATCTTAAAAACAGTAAACATACTTTTTTCCTTGTGGGTCAAAACTTCATGGAATCACAATTTAGTTTAATCCAATTAAGAGTAATAAATTACCTGAAAAAAATTTCCCACTATATTCCTTATATATAATGGTAATATTCAAAGTATGCTGGAACTAAAACCATACTGAAAAAAGTACCTTTTATACAGTATTTAATTTTAGAAGTTTAAAAATGTTGAACATTTACTACATCTTTCTGTACACATACCATTAAAGAGGCCCTTCTTTTACCTATACTGCTTTTAAAACCACTACAATTTTCCTCTGTAGCTGCTGTGTATTGTTCCATACAAACCTCCCTGCTATGACGGTGACTGTAGCTTAGCCAAGTATCTGACCGAGCATTGTTCTGCTTTTATCACCAGTCCTGAAAGCTTTATTACATGTGATACCAATACCAACTGCATTGCCAAAGCTACCATTCCAATGACAAGTCTTGTGTATGGTAAGTATTTTGCTTTCATCAATGGTCTGACTTCAAACATTGCTGTTTAGTACAGTACTATATAGTTAAATGGAATAAGCTACTGGTCTATTCTATTATTGCCTTCAATCTTATATAATGTCTTATGTCCTGATTAATCCTATGTATTCAGCCATTGCATTTAGTTCAATATTAGGTACATACTGCATATACTATAGTTTAAGGTAATTCTGATAATTTTCACTTAAATAAGAAACACTGACAACCAAGGTTAAGTTTAGGGTAATTTTGATAAATTTTATCAAAAGAAAACCACTGACAACCAAACACCAACCAAGGTTAATGTCAGTTTTTGTAGGGTGAAAATTTTCAATGTTGCCCTTAGCAACAAAGCACACTTGAGCCCAGTGCTTGTTGCTATTGTACATATACATACATCAAATACATTCGGACAAAAAAGGTGCCAAATTAGTGTTTATACATGTACAAGTACCAGTTAAAAAGTTATTTTAAATATTTTTTAAGAATATTAATAGTTTTCTTATTAAGGTCATGAAATACTGTGTCAGACAATTGAAAAAGACATCTATTAGACAATAAGCTAACAATCTTGATTCTTTCAGGTGTGGAAGAATACATTGATCATGGCATTACTCCAGACAAGCTGTTGATTGGGATTCCTTGGCATGGCTATGATTACACCTGTAGTAATTCTTCAGTGCAGGTGTGTTATGTTTTTCCACAGCTTATTGAAGAAATGAATTTAATCTTTGCGAATTCTTGAGGACATGAAATACGATACTCTAGGCCGGCATATTTCATAAAGCATGTTAGCACTTCATGATAAATATGCAGGCGTGAAGCGTTGTAGTTAAACACCCAATTTTATGTTAACGCCCCCAAAATCTACCTGATTCAAGATCAATAATTTACCGCCTGTCAATCATAAAAAAAACAATAGCTTCTGATTTGATTGACAGGTCAGCTACCTGTGCTTCCTGATAATCCGAGTTTGCATGTTTTGAAAACAATTCCCTGGTCACGGGTCAAACTCTTTCATGTACCCGCATAGTATACACGCGGGTTAGAAAACTCCAATATGTGTGAATTTTATTTTAAAAAATAATTGAAAGTAGACTATCAGAACATTGACATTATAAAATATTTCTTTTCTATCTTCACTGCTGTTTGTTACTTGGAGGTGTTATATCGTCCACGTTATCTGTAGAAAAAAGACCGCGTCCACAGAAACCGGCCCTATTTGCTGTAATTGGAAGTCCGACGATTTAAATTATTTTTTTAAGAAATGGGATATAAGAAAAATATTCAGCACTAATAAACGGCATAGCATACTTTTTAAAAGTTTTATTTTGTACTATGGCTACAATCCACGCGATGTTGTACAGAAATTGATGTCAGAATTAATGCTCGAATTTCCTCTAGCTTCTGTATATAGGCCCTATATGTAATGAAAATGTGAAGATGATTAATAGTGATCGATTCTGAAAAGAAATCTTTCTAACTATAAAATTTTGTTAAAAATAGGGAATATTTTGGACAACTTAACATTGTTGGCCAGGGGGAAAAAAATCCGATCGCGGTAAATGCATGTTCACATGCACGACGGATAGGTGGATTAATAATTTTTTTTATTTGGATATTCAGACTTTTTTAATCAAGTGATTTCTTTTATTGAAGATTAAAAAAGATAAATATAGATTTGTAATTTTTAGTTGTGATTTTTTCTTTTATGTAAGGAAAACATTTTCTAAAACGATATACATGTATCTTATATTTTTTTTCCTTCAAAACATTACCATGATTACGATGAATGCGTTAAGTTTACAAATAAATTTCATATTAAAATAATTATTTTACGTAGTTTCACTCAAAACCAGACACAAAACACATAATGATGACCCTGATTACCAAACACAGACTTCCTGTGTAATGCTACATATACACAGATTTTTGACATCTTGGGTATTGGGGGTCTCCAGGTAAATAACACTACTGTTACTTCGACCACTCCCCCTCCTCAGGTAACCGTATGGTAAAAAAATTGGGTCTTTAATTTACCTTAAGAATTCTCAAAGATTAAATTCATTTCTTATATTTAATATATTATTTTTCTGATGACTTGCCACACATTTTTGTTATTCAACAATGCTTTTAAGAAAAAAAGAAGTTTTCACAATTTTTCTCTTACTTCAATTACTGCACAATGGAAGTATTCTTATTCATCCCATGGTAGTTCATGAGAAAATTTGCAAAGAATCTTATTGTGGAAAAATATTTGGAAATGTAAATGAAAATGGTTGTATACATTCATATTGATAGAATTGGTAGGTTATGTGATGGTTCTTGTAAAGATAAATGATCCTTTTGCAAAAAGGAGAGGGGAAGACTACAGTCTTGTCAGAGACTTTTGGTTTCAGGTACAATTCAAGTATAATTGATATTAGGCTGGGATGTTATGTTGAACATATGGCTTGTATACTGCTTGTCAAAAGATTATTTTAGAGTGACATTGACTTCTGACAGAATACATGCACTTCTGAATGGAAATTTTATTTCAAAAGTTTTTTTTAGATCTTTAAAAATTCAAATTAAAAGATGTATTAAAATGAGTAATTTTTTTTGTTTTTTTGTTAAAGATTTTTGACAGCTTATTGATCTAATGACCTTCAACTCGACCTTCAAACCACATTTAATAAAAATTAATTTTCACTTCAAAGTTTTGAATCCCTAAAACCCCCAAATGTATAATAATTCCACTGTATCTAATGTTTGTTTTTTATGTAAATGTAGAAAAAGAGTGGAGGTCAAGAAGCACTGACCTGCTATTTTGGCAAGAAAGTTAACTCCACTGCCTGTGATACATCAAAAAGGAAAAAAGTCAGTGTAGCAGATATTAAAGCCAAGTATCCTGTTCAGTACCAGAATAAAAAGTCACACCACTACCACCCAATTTATAGATCTGACTACATTAATGTTGAAGTAAGTACTTCTTTTATATGTAATAACTGGACAATTATCATAGTTAGACTTCAGCATTTCTCTAGCCCAAGTGCTCTGGTGAGTGATGTGACCCATAGGCCTCTTGTTTGAAATAAACAAATCTTGTTATTATAGTATACAATCCAGACTCTCTAATGCCATAAAATGAGAAGATTCTGAATTCTTAAGTTTTTTTTAAGTACATGTTTCAAAAATTGTATGTTTGTATGATATCTAAAATTAAATACAAACTTACACAATGGGTTTGATTTTCAAAATTATTTCAGAATATATATGCATTTGAAGTTTTGACTTACTAGTAAGTTTGTTATCATTTAAATATGGACTGGTGGTCAGGTTGAAATGGTAGTATATGATTATAAGTTTTTTTTTTGTTACTATCGGGCTGCATAGACTCAATTTTGTGACAATGACAAAATGAAAAGTTACCAGAGTTCTAGGTACATGTAACAAAATTTGAACACTGACAAATTCTCTATTGTAGGACAATGGTGTACAGCATCAGCTTTGGTACGAAGGACATGACAGTCTACTGGACAAATACATGTACATCAGGACCATGAAGTTTAAAGGTAAAACCAATTAAGAAACTAGAAATATGTCCATAGGACATGAATGCCCCGCCGAGGGTATATTAGTATTGCAACATAAAGAATTGTATTAGTGTATGAAATTTGATCAGAATGTCTTGAATACCGTATTTGGGGGAATATAATACACACTTTTTTCCTAAAATAAATTTCTTTGAGAAAGGGATGCATATTTTACATCACAATGGGATTTTGATAAGTTTTTCTTTCAGGTGAAACACGGCTATCATACGTACATACCGTAGTATTACCTTGAGACATGCAATTTCTTTTGTTTATCGCCATATTTTAAACTTCAGAAAGTTATTGTTGGAAGGTATGCTTGTTAAAAATGTCACTTTCATAATCTTTTGATACTAAAATAACATAAAAAAGCAAGTTAAAAGTAATTTGAGCTGCATGTTGATTGTCTCCAAGTAGGCCACCATTACCAATGTTATTTTTAGACGTTCACTCATGCCTATGCAACGTCCTTCCGTAATGATAGTGCACATGCACCTTATCTGCCAGACAAAGTAATAAGTCATTTTTTAATGAAATACAATAAAATAAAAAATTATTTTAGGTTTTAAATAACTCAATGAAAATCTGCTGCAACATAAACACCCCTCCATACGTCCCAATGAAAGGAAGCCAATGTTGTGACACACGTGCGCTGGTCAAATGATAATTACCTATCACCCCTCCGGGCAATTAATTGTCTACCAACTCCAAAGCAATGTTTTTACAGTTAGAGAACTGATTATTTACTGTCA